GTTTTGATTCAAATATCCAATTACTGCAGGTATAAATCCAGTATCAATACAAGCTGCACACTTTCACACTCCCTTCTCTCTGACAGCGAGTTGACATACCACATGCGGTGTGTGTAGTTTAAGAAGTATATTGTCCATTGTATTGCCCATTTCAGAGTGAAGCGCAGCACTCTGTTCATTTACAATACAATACAACCGTCAACACCAATGGTTGAAAATTTGACCTCAAACATGTATAACATTAAAACCCCTCAGATATAAAAAAGAAAAAAAAACAGACCGTTCCACCTTAGTGTTTTGATTCAAATATCCAATTACTGCAGGTATAAATGAATTCTTATAGAGGTTTCTCTCTGTCCTGGGCATTAGTGTCTTCTAGAAGGCAATAAAACAAGCTGATCATTCAAAGGATGAGTAGCATCTTTCAAAATGCACTCAGCTTTCCTAACACACTTGCAGCACATGATCCAGTGTTTTCAGCGTCTCACAGAGGCTCTGTTCACAATAAAGCCCGAAGTATACTTCTGTCTGCAATTCCACAATGGTCCGCACACTGAAAGTATGAAATTATATATATTTTTTGTCGTCATCGGGCAGGTGTGGGTACAGGTCAATTTTTGTGAAGTTTCAGCTCTAAATACCCCATAGATCATTTATTATATCATTTTGAAAATGCCCATTTTGAATGGAAGCAGAAACACACCGTTTTTATGCATGTCTCTTTAAATGCAAATGAGCTGCTGCTCCCCGCCCCCTTTTCCAGAATCGGACTGTGACTTTACAGCTTGTACCTCAGATACTCTGCCAAAAAACATCTGTTTGGTTTTGATGATCATGTCTATCGCGCGGAGACAATACATTTTAAACTATATTAGTTTGAACTACTTGTATACGGTTTTCTGAGCTCACATCTGAAGCACACGCACAGAAAGCAGCTGTCACACGGCATGTGAGTACTAAACGAAGTTCTCTTTCATGTCTTACTGCGCGTAACTGTCAAATACACACAAGTTTGTTAAACGCATGAATTATAAAAGCAGCCGGTTATGTCTGTGAAGGTAAACCGCTGGGAAAGAAACTGGATGTTTATGTTAGATCTGTGAGGCAGCAGCGTAATATACAGTAAATAAATCAATAAATCCACTGCTCTCTTGTCTCTGAGGCTGGGACTCTAAACAGTGTTCTGTGCTCGACTGTGCAGCCAAAGACAGAACAGTTAGGTGCACTAGCTCAAACGTTCGCAATGGCGTTAGTACTGGTACACTGTTTTCGCAAGTGACAACTATGGCGGCGCCGTGGGTGGAAACTTACAGATTATGGGGCGGTAATATTATAATGAGATCCCCCTTACAATGTCACTAGGGGCGAAATCGGAGCGGCTAGTTTTTTCACGAACTTGAAGATAAAAAATTTTTCCCATGTTTTCTGGGTTGGTAGATGCACCGGGGACCCGATTATAGCACCTAAACGCAGAATAAGTCAGATTTTCTTGATGTCACCTTTAGAATACTAACATTTCTATAATAATAGTACTAATAAGAGTTTCAGTTGCTAAGAAAATATTTTGTCTGATAAAGTAAATTTAAATGCTAAAAATGAGATATTGTTCAGTTTTTATGCCCTTTATTTTGTGGCAGTGTTTCCTCATAATATGGATATTTAGAAATTACAGTTTTGTGGCAACATTAATGTCTACTATGTCAATTATTATTAAATGGCAAGAAAAAGAAAGTTCTTTAATTTTGTTTCATTATTTTATTAATGACTGTTAAGTAAAAAAAAAAAGCTGCATGAGAAAACTTGAAGCCTTATTTACTTAACACTGTAAAATAGTGTTATGGCTGCATGTTGTCATTTATTTATATTGCTCATTTAATTATTGTGTAGTAGTAGTAGCATATTACTTTCTGTTGACTATTGCTGTGAAATTGAAGTTTGTATCAAGTATCTTCTACTGGAATATAGATATCAACCCCATTGGTTTTAAAGTAACTTGCAGTAATTTTAGAGATGATATTTTGTCATGTGAGTCCATTCGCAATATAATTCTGGCTTAATTATTTGAGAAGACTTTACACAACAGTAAGCTCATTTACTTTAGTGGTGAATGGATTCCAGCTGTGAAAAAGGACCTGTCTTTAACATGCTTTCTCTGTGTTTCTCCAGCAGTCTGTCTCCAGATCTTCTGGATGGGAGTCTCAGTAGCGTCGGCTCCTCCTCCGACTCTCCCGCCAAGATGGAAGGAGTGTCGCCCTCCTCCAGTAACTCGCTTCAGGACCTCTCCCCTAAGTGATCCGCTGAGCATCACGGACATCACAGGAGGACTGGGCCGCTTCTCGGGCCCTTTTCTACTCATTTTACTTTTGTTCCCAATGCCTTTCCAAAATGGCTTTCGTTCTTTTCCTGAATTGTTCTGTTACGTTACATTTAAAGCGAGGCGTGAGTTTTCCGTGTGGGACAGACCCTAAGGGCATGGATGGAAAGAATGTGGATGTTTTTTGCATCAGCTGCTATAAATAGATGTAAAACATGGTGTATAGATCTGTATCAAAGCGAAGGACATCACGGAGGAGGATCGTGGATTTAGTTTTTCTTTTTGATACCGCTTCGAAAAGAAAACCGCTGTAAACAGGAGAACAACTACAGGCACGTTCTTTGATTTACAATCTCAGCTTGCCAACCAGTATTGTGTGTGAGAATTTAACTTATTTTTTTGGCTTTTATTTGTATGTAAGTATGTACATAAGATTCGTGGCAAAATGTGCCGAGGCAAAGAGCTCGACCGGGAAACTGACAGCCGCCTCTTCTGCAGTTTTATTAGCGGTGCAACTGCACTTTAAAGGGGCATAATTTAATTTTGCGCTTTGGTCTGAATCTGCGTATGCTGTTTTTCAGGAATGGCCTTTTTTTGATTTTCAAGTAGGTGGAGGAAACTTATTTTTTTTATTTTTCCCAGATCTTGGCACTTCATTCTCTGTTAGAATGATATTCATGGTTGCTATACACAACTACTGCAGATGGGATTTAATATTGCAGCTGTTGGAAACCACTAAACCCTCGATTTGAACATTACAGAGAAACTAAACTGCCTGTTGAAGCTGGTCAACCTAAAGACTTGCGTACAGCCATGTTGTCAGAGAATGGCGCAAAACATCCGGGGCTGAGATGAATGATGTCCAGTGTATGTTTTAACTTTTCACACAGTGGCTTTGCCCCGTTTGTTATTCGGGAAGTATTTGGAGGAGAATGCAATGCGCTCTACAGGTGCAGTTAAACGCATTTTCAGAGGCTGTTAACAGTCATACGTTTAGCAGTTTAAAATGTGGAGCAGAAGTGCAAAGAAATGAAACCCTCTCATCAAATTTTATTTGTGGAGTTTTAAATGTAATCTACTGATACCGAAACGGTGTGCCATTTAATTTTGTATATAAGAGAAATGTACAACTGTAATAGGAGTTCTTTGTTTGGGGGTGTAGTTACTTTAGGAAATAGTGTTTTCTTTTGTAAATGGTTTCCTAAATTTCATTACAAGAAATTGCTTTATTTCCTCAAGCATGATATGATGTATCATAAATTCATTTTTCTGTGCAAGAAAGTGATTGTAAAATTATAATGTTTTTCATTTAAGTGAATTGAAAGAGTGAGGGGGTAAGAAAAGTGACACCACAGTGTAAATCTTTTTCTGAATGTCTTTGCAAACAAAAATACAGTAAGTGGGTCGTGTAGATCCAGGTTCTGTCCTGTAGTGATGGGTGAAGTGTATTTGTAGTTTGCTCTGCTGGTTTGTTTTTTGACCTGTGGATGTCGAATTCTTTATTTAATGAGTTTACTCTGTCCTGTTGCCTCATGCAGTACTTTTAAAGCCTGTGCACATGAACTCTGTCGAGGAGGACTTGAGTGCTGTCATGAGGACGTGTAGTTGTGCTCTCTGAACAAATCTTGTTCCCATCATATCAGAGACTTCCAGATGTCAGAAATAAATTATTTGTCCAGCTATTTTGTTGCCTTGTCTTGTGATATCAAACTTACTTGCTGTTGACAGTCTGGTTGTCTTCAAATACACGATGGTCTTAACGGCTGTTAAAAAGTACTCTGTGCACTTCATTTACAGTCATAATTAATCCTGCTTTTCACAGACTGTGATGCATTTCTACAATTAACTTTGTGAATGTATCAGTTAACTGTTTTTGAAAGTCTCTTATGTTCACCAAGGCTGCATTTATTTGATCAAAATCAGCAAAAATAGTAATAAAATGATAATTGAATTGAACATCACTTTACTATTTGAACAGATTTTGAATGTCATGTATTCCTGTGATGCAAAGCTTCATTTCCAGCATCATTACTCCAGTCTTCAGTGTCACATGATCCTTCAGAAATCATTCTAATATGCTGATTTCCTGCTCGAGAAACATCTCGTATCAATGTTGAAAACCGTTGTGCTGCTCTTTGATGAATAGAAATGCAAACAGCATTTATTTGAAATGGAAAGCTTTTAAACATAAATGTCTTTTCTGTCACTTCTGATCAAGATAATGCACCCTTGCTGAATATAATAAAATGTAACTAACCCAAAACCATGTATTATATTACCGTGGGTAATATACAAACCAGTTACAAAGGGGTTTCTAAGACCGTTTCTGAGAGAGAGTGTGGAAAGAGCCATTAATATTCAAACTTGTTCTTCGGTCTGTTGTATCTTAAAAAAAAGTTAACAAGCCAAGTAAAAACACTATCTAATCCTGTTCTAAAAAAAACATTTATCACACTCAAGTTACATATTGCTTCCTTAACCAACTGAACTATCATACAGAAACTAATGCTACTACCAATACTTTTGAACATGAAAGTGTGTTTAGGAAATGCTTTTAACAATCAATTTCTTTATTTGATGTGGCATCTATAGAGATTACTGTGCACAAGATTTAAGCAGTGGACAAACAACATAAAAGCCATTTTCAGTCTTGAGAAAAGCAACAAAAAGGCACAGACACCGAATATGATGTATAACAACACATTTAATTTAATGTATTCATGTTCCTCTACACTCCCTCCCACTTAACATAATAGTCAGCCGGATTCAATGGCAGCTCAGTCAGTGTTCGGCCTGTAAACACAGAACGCTCCCTTCCCCTCGCCCATGGATCTTTGTGTCTTCATTGTGTCTGTGAGTTTGTGATGATAATTTAAGAAGTTAGTTCCTGTTTATTAGGGAGTTTCTCAGACGTGCTTCCCCTCCATCCTCACAACCCTCCTGGCTGTGTTAATGTCCATATCTCCCCTCTTCATTATTTTAGTTCCTTTCAACGAGATCGTTTCCAAGAGCACTTCAAGTGCGCAGAATAACCATTGTAAGAAGGCCTGTGCGACATGGGAAAAAAATCATGATAAAGTGCACAATGTATATTTGCAATATGATGCTTTTTTTGCGACTCACCTAAAACATAAGCAGCTACAAGTTTCTTGTTAACACTTAAGTGGAGGTAGACAGGCACTGTGGATTCCTGCTCTCCCAGAGTTGGGAGCATAAGGGCCGCCATACACACCAGGCCTAAAAGGACAGTGAGGATGCTGGGGCCCCCAGATGCTGTACGGCTCTCTGTGCAAACACAGAAAAGGAAGAAGCAGATGGTTTTAAAATGAAAGCACACCACCAAACAATAAAAATAATACAGCTCTCTGACTCCACCCAGTGGGAAAAGGAGTTAACAGCAACAGCTTTAATAGAGAGCTCAGTAAGGCCTAAAGCTAGCATGGAAAAGCTACCAACCAATCCGGGTTTATTTTACACTGTATACAGGGCATTTATGAATTTAAAAAATAGATAATAATATTCATATACAGTATGTATATAAAATATACATAGAATTATTTATACTGTACTACCATTTTACTTTAATATCGTGATGCATTTCTGACTGAAACAAGATATTCAACAGCGAGCAAAATGCTGAGACAATTTTATTCTTAGTGAATTACCTGGATTATAAAAGTTTTTTAGTGACTGGTGGATTGGATATTTAAAATAAATGAAGAGTGTTGAAAAGATGGAGAAAGCCATTACTCTTTGATGAAAGATTACAAGCTTTTTTCTTTGGAAATACAAGCGCCTATGAATCAATCACAGCAGGAACCAAGAATGCTTTTTAAGAACATAAATTCACATTGACTGTAAAATGCACCTGTCTGGAATGCAGTCTGCTCAAAGAACACTCTGTCAGCAAGCTGCTCCTTCATCCTGCGCTCCTCTTCCTGGGGCCGGACCTGGGGCTGCTCCTGAGCGGCCGAGGGCAGCAGAGTGGCCATCACTTCCTTCCTGCCCAAAGCCTTCCTCTGACTCTGCTCAGACACCTGCAGCCGGAACTTATCAATCACCCCGTAATGACAGGCCCGCACGTCCCTATGGCGGATCACACTGTTTGGCGAAAATCACAAGAAATGGAAGGTTGTGAAAGACTGAAACAAATCGAAATGACATTTTTCTGTTTCAAATATTGTGCAAGACCTGGAAACTTACATATCCACGCAACATTGCGGTTTAACAGCACCAGTGGCATCCACCACGGCATACTTGTTTGGCGCTGTGCACAAAACTGATGGAACAACAATCAGTTAAAAAAGGAAGGACCACTGCAACACACTATGGATACTAAAACAAAATATATGACTTACCTTTGAATTTAAGAGCAAACTCATAAGGGTTGTAGAGGGTGAGCACCTGCTTATGTGAAGCCTGCTCATCTGCGTAGAACACCAGCTCAGTGGGGAACACAAACACTGGAAGGCTTCCCTCCACTAGGTCAGGCTGCCGGCTCTGCTGCTGCATTGGCTTCAGCTGAGCTCACGTCCTCCTCCCTTTATCGTATTCCCACTCCGTCTCTGGGCTGAAACGGTGCAGAGATCCAGTTCTAAATGGAGCCAGTTCAGCTCTTTGGCAGCATGACGCTCACCTCTGAAATGACAGAAATGGGGCCACTTCATCATCATGACAGACCATAGGAGGCAGAAACACAAATAATATGTTTACATAAAAATAGCAAAGTTTGTCATAATAATAAAAATAGAACATCAAACATTAATAGTAACAAAAAGAAATATCACTGAGCAGCAAATCAGCATATCAAAAAATTATTTCCCAAGGATCATGTGATGCTGAAGACTGTAGTAATGATGCTGAAAATTCAGCTTTGCCATCATAGGAATAAATTACATTATAAAATATATTTAAAGACAAACCAGTTCTTTTAAATGGTAATCATATTTCACAATATTACCGCTTTTATTGGATTTGAATGAAATAAATGCAACCTTGGTGAGCATAAGAGACTTCTTTCAAAAAAACACAGTGATACTCAAATAGTGGGTCATGACCAAAAAATGATCCAGGTCTGTTCTGATGCAGATGGCTAAATTAATTCACATGAAGAAACTATATAATTGTGCATTACTAAGATAACAAAAAGGAGGAGAAAACACTTCCCATATCAGCCTTGATGTCAAAGGCTGCACATTCTGTCAAACTGTGTGTAAATCTATTTTTTGCACAGATTCATGTCAACTTGATATAAGCAGCCAAACTAGACAGACACCAAAAAAACCCAGACTGTTTGGCAAGCACTCAAAGTGCAAAAAAAACATTTTCTACTGTGAATTATCAGCTGTTATTTAAATGATCCGACTTTATAACTATTTAAAAACTAAAATGATAAATTATCCTATTTAATGTATCATGTTGTTAGGCCTATGCAGTTTGTGGTAATATGTCAATATTTGATCTGAAAGACATTTTTTGTACAATAACCAACTTTGGGTACCGTGCTGGGCAAATTGACATAAAATCTGAATCCTAAAACAAAACCAGCTGCGGACTAATGCAACCGGAGGTTTAAATTACATCTGACAGCATGAATAAGTCTAAGTAACAACAGATTTATTTGTGGCATGAAAATAATCAAAGTAGGCTTCAGAAAAGTGAAGTAAACACATGCATGAATTGAAAAGCTGTTGCTCTCGCAAAATGGGTAAATATTTTTACTGCAAATGTTATTTAGACGATCAGAATTCATAACCATTTAGAGATCGATTTTCAATAGTGTCATTACTTCAGTGTCTTGTTGATAATTATTGTACCATACTGTTATATCATATTGTCATGCCTATGAAGTTCATTGTAGCATTAATAAATCTTAAGTGTTTGAGTTGAAGGACATTTTGTACAATAAACAACTTGTACAGTGCTGGGCAACTTGACAAAATCGGTCATAAAACAAAAGCAGCTGAGAACTACTGCAACACGATGTTTAAATAAATGTCAAATTACATTAATAATAATTCTAAGTAATAAAGTTTCTCCCAGACTTAGAATAATCAACAGATGCTTCAGAAAACCGAAATAAACACAAGCATGAACTAAAAAAAACTTTTGTTTATATAAAAATACGTTATCACTTAGCTGCTAATATAGATATGCAGGTAAACAAAACGAAAGCCAAAGGAAAATGCAAGGCACGTGTCAATATAATCTGATCATGGTGTCAATGTAATAGTGACTAACGGATGATGGCCAAGATATCTGTACAAAAACAAGCTGCTGTCTCCACGTGGCTAACGTTAGTCATGTGACCGTGTTTACTGAATTCGTCTGAAACTCAAGGATTTCGCAATACGATCTAAAGCAATAAATAAATAACGTTAAAGCTAACAGTCTCTAACATCATACTACTGAGGTCAATGACACAGCATGACAGCTGGCAGATACCAGTGTCTGCTCTCACATATCAGTCCAGAGATGAATTTAACTAGCTTTAACAAATGTCAGATAAATACACCCAACAGGCACGTAAAAAACAACGCTACTCCTCAACTAAATATTAAAACCCCCTGTAAGTGTCCTCTGTATAATACACAAAACCCTGTCGAATTATTGATGTCTAGCTAGAGCAGATCGGATAACGTCCTGACAGACCTTTTGTCCTCTTGAAGGCTATTGTGTTTCGCTGACTATTAGCAGAGAGATCGCTATATGTAATATGACATTCGTATTTTAATAAACCAACACATTAAAGCGTCCATTTGCGACCGCAAACCGTGTGATGTCAAATATTCCTTACATACAATACATTGGGATGTCTAATGCTAAACAGAATTCAAGAACGATATCAGTATCTGCCTGAAATATGATTAGCAATCGCTGACATTTGAGTTCTGCACAGTAACTAACATTTAATAAGACGTTCCGCTTGCAGATAAAATTACTCAATAAACGTGATGTTTAGTATTGTTCAATAGATGTATTGGATGTTGAGGTATTGCTGGTATGGTTAACATATTCATGCTAGCATAACAATATGGTCAAGTCGAGATAACACAGCGTTTAATATTACGTTACTTAATGACGTTATTTCAAGAATAAGGTATATCAAAAACAATTAATAAACATATATGTTTACCTCACTCCCGTTTAACGATATTTATTTCAAATCCCACCCCGTTTCCTTTTTCTTTGTCAACAATACGCTGCCAGGGCGCATTGAATGCTGGGAAACTGGAGGACTTAGGGAGTCCTCTATGACGTCACCGAGTTTCGCAAATGTACTTTCTGTTATTTATAATATTTTTCTCTGGAAATGTTTTCAGAAGATAAATGACGTTCGTCTTGCGTTTTATACCTCTACATCTTAAACACAGTTTGGGTGACCGTTTTCCCATTATGAAAAATCTTAAAGGGACAGTTCCCCCTAAAATAAAAATTCTCGCATTACTCGCCCACGTTGCTCCTAAACCTGTGTGGCTTTCATTCTTCCCTGGAAGAGTAAAAGAGACGCTGGGCAGAATATTACAGGGGCTTCACCATTCACTTTCTGTTTAAACTGAAGCGGTTATTGACGGAACCCCGTTTCCTTTTTCGTTGTCAACAATACGCTGCCAGGGCGCATTGAATGCTGGGAAACTGGAGGACTTAGGGAGTCCTCTATGACGTCACCGAGTTTCGCAAATGTACTTTCTGTTATTTATAATATTTTTCTCTGGAAATGTTTTCAGAAGATAAATGACGTTCGTCTTGCGTTTTATACCTCTACATCTTAAACACAGTTTGGGTGACCGTTTTCCCATTATGAAAAATCTTAAAGGGACAGTTCCCCCTAAAATAAAAATTCTCGCATTACTCGCCCACGTTGCTCCTAAACCTGTGTGGCTTTAATTCTTCCCTGGAAGAGTCGCTGGGCAGAATATTACAGGGGCTTCACCATTCACTTTCTGTTTAAACTGAAGCGGTTATTGACGGAATGTTTATATTTAGGTAAACTGTCCCTTTAAGGTTTAAAAGCAAAGCTCAAAGGAAGCATTTCGTTAAAACGAAAACATTTTTCTATGGATGTTAGCAAATGAAAGCACAGGAAACCAGTAAATAACATGTTTTAAACCAGTGAACCGAACTTAACATTTGACAACACGACATACAGCAGTACGCGACTATAACGTTTAAGTAAACAACTCATCCTAAAGAAACCTGCTCGCCCTTTAAAATGAAAGCCATCCACCACCGCCTTTTCAGGGCACAACCCATAATCATAACATTTGTGACCGCTTGCACACATTTGCTCAATGAGCAAATTTAAAGAACATTTTGCATGACAAAAAAAAAAAGCCTAGAGAAATGAAAACAGGAGGAACATGACGACCTTTATAAAAACCCCTCTCTCAACGGACACACATACAGTTCAGGAATAAACAACACTGGCAGATTCACTTTAAAAATGTATCCTTCGTTGTAAACCAGTATGCCAACGGCTATAATAAACAGAAACCAAGTGGTTAAAAAAAAGACAGTCGAATATGCTCTACAATATGGTGATCTTATGTCTGGGATAAGACACGTTTCTCACGCTGCCTAAGCAGGCTATTGAGATGTAGTTATGTTAAAATGCGGCTGATTCGATTCTAATAAAGGATGCTGTATGATCGGCACTTGCTGACCGGCTATTCCCTACGGATATTAAATAACACCTAGTAGTGCTAGCTACAGGAGCTAGCTTTCGCGCAGGGTAAATATATCACCGCAAATGCCTGTGCATTTCTCGCAGCGCGTTCAGTGTGTGGGATTATGGGGAACAGGACCGCCAAACAGCTACGGCCCTTTCTGACATTCACAAACTCAGAGGGCATGTGCAGCGAGCGATTTAGGAGGAGCCAGCGCCTGACAACGCCGCTTCTTCTCCCGCATCTGTGCCCCTGCTGTCATGGTCTCAGGCGGATTGTTGTATTAACATGGCGCTTGCCTATACTCTCCCGAAGGAGATACACTAGAGGAGAGGGAAGCGGACGAGGACGGATTTCTCCATGGTCAGAGGGAGGCACAATTATTATAAAAATCACACACAACCCAAGCTCACCCAACTCCCCACCCCCACCAAGACAGCTAGACCAGGATCAGGCGAGGAGGGGGTCGCCCTTTATGTGAGATGAAAATGAAACTATATGTGACCCTGAACCATAAACCAGTCATAATGGTTCATTTGATTTAAAAGATGTACACATCATCTGAAATGCAACTGATGTATGGTTTGATAGGATAAGACAATATTTGGCCGAGATGCAACTTTTTGAAAATGTGGAATCTGCGGGTGCAAAAAAAGCCTTTAAAATGGTCTAAATAAAAGTTCTTAGCAATGCATGTTACAAACCAAAAATTAAGTTTTGATATATTCACGGTAGGAAATTTACAAAAATACTCAACATCCAATATCCTGATGATTTTTGGCATAAAATAAAAATCGATAATTTTGTTGGCTGCTACAGATATACCCGTGCTACTTTTCGTACGACTGGTTTTGCGGCCCAGGGTCACCTAAATGTTACAAATGAACGTGTCGAAACTGTCTAACACGCAATGCAACAGCAAAAGCGCCCATTAAAAGCAAATATAAACCAACGCGTACAGGCGACACGGAACATCCCCGTCCACCCCTCGACCCGCTCGCGGAGAACTGAGAGTATAATAAGAGGAATACCACGACCTCATTGCTTATTTATACCTGAGTGGGCGTGGCTTCGCGGCTCGGCTAAGCCAATGGCGTTGCAGCGGCGGGGCGAAGGCGTTTCGGTCTTGTTCGGAAGAGAAGTTCTCTAACAGCGCGAGCCCAGCACTGCTCAGAAAAGACAAGATAGAGAATCAGGCGGCTGCAAAGGGTGGCAGTACGACCCTCTTTTGGGGGGGGTCTGATTATAACAAAATATATACACACATATATGCATGCCCAGGGCCGCGAGATAGGTCATATGCCGATTGTAGGTATTTTAGCAAACATCTAGAGGTCTATCTATACATTTCAAAATGCCTATTTTACTTTTTCTGATAGACACGTCCGCTTCTATGAATCAGCGCACTTATTTGGGTACGACGTTTCTGGACATTGCTAAAGGCGCGGTTGAGATCTTTATGAAGGTAAAGCATAATTTTACCCCGACTTTTTCAGCTTGCTGTTGTACCTTGTTGGAGTTAAGGATCCATATGACAGGATCAGTTTCAATTAAT